AAAAAAAAAAAAAAAGAAAAAATTCAACCTTTTCAGGTAGGACATAAAAGGACATGCTTCAGTGGAATTTCTTATGGTGTTCCTAAATTGGAACGCTTAATGCTAAAAATGTTATTTCTACTAGATTAATATACAAACTTAGTACAGTATCAATTAAATTTTACTGAATGTCCTGAAACTTGTCAAAGCATTTCTAAAATTTATGTCAAAAATGCTGGAAAGAGTTAGCCAAGAAAAAATTGAATAAAAGAAATAAAGAGAGACCTTTTCTTATAAGTATTAAGGTATGTTATAAACACAGATGTCAACAAGATGGCTGACTGGAGCTACCTGGTACCCATCTCTCCCACAAGAAAGGGCCAAACCAGCAAATAAATAGCTACATTTTGACTGGAGTGTCTGAAGGAGAGCACTGGATTACAGCAAGGGGATGGTGGCATCCTTGTGGGCATGGAAGCCTAGGATGGCAATACAGAAAGGGGAGTGAAATGTCCTGCCTCTGCTACTCTGTCTACCCCACCAGGATTGGCCTGGAGCCAGGAGGAACTTCTCTTTGTGGGAAAAAGGTAAACAGGAGGCCCCCAGGAGCCTCCATTACCGCCACAGGCACCTGCAGTCCTTGCTACAGGAGAATCCTGTAGTTCTCAAAGCCCCGAGCCCAGTTTGGGAAGTTGCCTAAAATTCATACAGTTGCATTCCTCCAGAGGAGGATCCCACCTCACACACCCCTTGACTCCCTGTGACCCCAGCTACTACAACATGGCACCATTTGAAACCATAGCTACTGCTAGAGTGCATTGTGTTCTGGAGGCCAGTAACCACTGCCTCTCTCCATCCCTGAGGCTCTACTATCATTCTTCCATGTTCATACTTGTGGCTGCAGCCCCATAACCCTGGTTACTCGGAGCCTAGGGCCAATGAAATGACTACAATCTTGGCGCCTGAGCCCATGTGGTACCCTGTCCCCCCAAGGAACAGGCAGCCCTACACTGTCCCTGTCCAGAAGACCCACTATACATGCACAACCTGGGCCTGGGAACCAGCCCAGTGGTCCTGCCCCGGGCAAGGCTACCCCCAAGCCAGTGGACCTGCCATGCAGGCACACACTCAGCCTGAGAACCAGCCTGGTGACCTAGTCCCCTGCAAAGTCATGCCACTGCCAGCACAAACTCCTGCAGCCTAGGCCACTGGAGCACTTCAAGATATTAATATTGCAGATGTGGATTACAGCTGAAGAAAATGTATGAAGACTACACTACTATGTTTTCCCAGAATAGCCAACACATCCTACCTGACACATAGGATGCATCTACAAGAAAAAGTCCCTGAAAAAACTACTCCATAAATTTGGAAGAGGTGACTGTTGTACCACATGTGCAAATACCGACATAGAGACACAAGAAACATGAAAAAAGAAGAAACATAATACCTCCAAAGGGAAACACAATAATTCTCCAATAACAGACCCCAAAGAAAATAAAATTTACTAAATGTCTGAAAAGGAATTCAAAATAATGATCTTAAGGAAACCCAGTGAGATGCAAGAGAATACAGATAAACAATTTAATGAAATCGGAAAAATAATTCATGATCTTAATGAGAAGTTCAACAAAGAGATGCATATTATAAAAAAGAACCAAAGAGAAATCTGAGCTTAAGAAATCAATGAATGAAATAAAAAATACAGTTGAGAGCTTCAACAACAGATTAGATCAAGCAGAAGAAAGATTTTCTGAAATTGAAGACTGGTCTTTTGAAATAACGCAAGCAGAGGGAAAAAGAGAAATAAGAAAAAGAAAGAATGAAGAAGGCCTACAAGGAGATATGGGATACCATTAAGTGATCAAATGTTTGCATTATGGGTATTAAGAAGGGAGAAGAGATGGAGAAGGAAACAGAAAACGTATTTAATAAAAAAAAAATAATAGCTAAAACTTCCCAAGTCTTGGAAAGACATGGACGTTCAGATTCAGGAATATTAATGGTCCCCAAATCGATTTAACTTTAAAACGTCCTTCCAATAAAGTCCTCTCCAAGGCACATTAAAATAAATCAAACTGTCAAAAGTTTGACAAATAAGAGAAATTTCTAAAAGCAGCAAGAAAAGAAAAATCAAGTCACATGTAAGGGAATGCCCATTAAAGCATCAGCAGGTTTCTCAGCAGAATCCTTGCAGGCCAGAAGAGGCTGGAATAATAGATTCAAAGTGCTTAAAGAAAAAGAAGTCCATCCCAGACAAGCAAAAACTGAGGGACTTCATCACTACTAGGCCATCCTTTCAAGA